GCTTGCCCCAGACACGGTGGATGCAGATGATGTGCCAGATCTACTCACAAACCTACCATCCCTACCCTTACGCACATTTACCCTATGCGTCTCGTACATGTCATCTAGCCTCTGACTGAATGGACCGTAATCATCATATGGTCCACTCTCATCGTCCACATCCTCATCTGCATCCTCCTCCTCCTCCTCCTCCTCCTCCTCCTCCTCCTCATCATCATCATCATCATCATCATCATCATCATCATCATCATCATCATCTTCATCCTCATCCCAATGGTGAACTCGTTCTCTACGAGCCGAGGCCGAAATACCACGGGATCTAAGATGTTTGGGCCTCGAGCTCTCCATCGAGTAGTTTCCAGACCTAATAAGGTCTAAATTCTTCCCCGCACCATGACGAAAATGCGACACCTTCAAAAAATTAAAAAATGTATACACATTAAAAAAATTATAAGAAAAATAACTACCAAAAACCAAATCAAATGAACTAAAAAAATACTAGCAAACTAACCTAAAAAAGAAATTAACAGAATACTTATAATAAATTACAGAATAAAATATACACAAACAAAGAAAAAAAAACCAACACATACAAAATTTATATAAACATAAAAGGAAAAAAAAATTAATCTAAACGAAAATATATCAACTAAACAAAAAAAAAAACATACTAACAAATTGCAATAACTAATATATAAAAAAAAAATAAAAAATAAAAAAAAAAAAAAATTGTACAAAACAAACATACAAAGAAATGTAAAGCAAGTATAAACGTAAAAAAAACAACAAAATTGAAAAAAACTTAAAAAAAACATAGAACACAAACAAAATTTTAATTTCAAAAAAAATTACTAGAAAAAACATAAAAAAATTATGAATTTCAAAAAAATAAACAAAATAAAAAAAACTGATTTTCACAAAAAAAAACCATAAAAAAACAAAAATCCAAAAAAAATTACTTAAAAAAACAAAAAACAAAAAAAAAATTCCGATTTTCAAAAAAAAAATCTGATTTTAAAAAAAAAAAACCGATTTTCAAAAAAAAAAAACAAAAAAAAAGAGGGGCGCATGGCTGGGACGCCATACCATGGGTGGCGGCGCCTGGCTAGGACGCCAGACCACTGGTGGCGGCGCCTAGCTAGGACGCCATTCCGTGGCGGCAGTGCCTAGCTAGGACGCCACACTGGTGGTGGCGGCGCCAGATCCAGACGCCATGGTCGTGGTTCTGGTGTCTGATTTAGGCGCCACCACCACCGCCGTGGCGTCCTCCCCATGCGCCCCACCTTGCCACGACGGTTTTTTATTTTTTTTTAAACGGAAAAAAACCTACCTTTCCACTGTGAGACCTCCTTCCCTCCGTCGCCGCTAATTCCTTGCCTTGCCGCCTCGACATTGCCGGATTTTGAATTTTTTTTTTTAAAAAAAAAACGTAGAATGAAAGTGGCACAAAATTTTTTTTTTTGGTGATGAGAGAGTGTTTTTTTTTTTGGTCAAGGGCAATATTGTCAATTTAATGGAAATTTGTGGTCTTTCGTTGGTATTTTGTAGGCGATGTTTAGCAATCCACTATTAATTTTCCTTTGCTTCTTTGTCCCTTTCTAGTTGCAACCTTATAAGTTCCATTTGATTTTCAGATTGCTTTATAAGGTTCATGTTCTAGACAATGTCCAATCATTGCTGCCTGCTCCAAGTGGCATGTTTAATTTGCCATCTTGCTCTTTGCTTTGTTTTTGCTAGATTCGTTGCTGGAAGGGAAGCCTTAATACGCAATATCACCACTGGTTGGTGTTTCTGGGTTTAATAAAGATAAGTAGTTACCAGCTTCATTTATACGTGATCTCTTCGAGTCACTTCCTTGAGTGGATGGCTTCAATTGGCTTCCACACATCATGATGTATCAGGATGTCCCAACCATGCTTGTATTGAAGGTTTTTAGACATCGATGATGTCTTGGTTTTGTCAGAAGCATATTGTAGGCGTCATTCGAAGTGCGCCTACATAAGCATGTTGTGAATATGCTTGGCACTCATAGGAAGTGGGAATTGACATACGATTAGGGACACGATTAGGGACAAAGCAAAGTAGGGAGCCGCCAACAAGATTTTAAGGAACTTGTAAACCGTTCACGGATCATTATAAGGCAACTACGATAAGGGACAACGAAAGGCAACAACGATTGACCCTTGAAGATTACACCCCATTCATAATCCATGAGATTACTAACTCAATATGGTTTGTACCCACGAAAGGAGGATCGGAGATGATGGTACAAAGTGAGTCATGGAGTCACATTCGCCCGTATTGGCCTCTACTCGATTCTTATTGTGAAAAGTGATTCCTGCGATCTCAAAGGCATACAAACAAAGATTCAATTTGCTCCAAACTAATATTAAGCTAAATTGGTTGGATATTAATGCAACATATATTTCTAAAATATCGTGATCACTTGATTAAACAACAAGATTAAAAAGGATCCTAACCGGTTGTCCAAATTATCTTATTAATTGTTATATTCAATTACATATTCCCATTAACATAAAATACGGAGATCAATACAATAACAATAGAATCATCATTAACATTGCAAGCAATTCAGCCATGAAAACAACGATTAGTATATGAAAAACATAATAAAAATCGTTAGAAATATAATAGGAACAAAAGGAACATGATTCCTTACTTTGATTGCTTTTGCTTGAAACTATAAAACAATAAACGCGTTAGTAACTTCAAGGAAAATAATAAACAGTAATGGAAATCAAATTAAATCAAAATAGTGTTGATTTGGGGCCAATCCCTCAAACAATTCTACTTTCCACGCCTTGGTTTAAGTTTAGAATTTCGGGTAAAGTACGGACTCTAGGGAGTGCTTAAGGGACGTATTGTGAAAGAATAGGGAGGGCTAGTGTTTAGGCTAAAGCATAAGAGAGAGAGAATGATTTTTGGTGCCCCGAAACTATGAAATCAGCCTCGTATATATAGAGGAAATGAGCAGGGTGATGCAAGAAACCCTAGAAATGAAATGCGCCGCAGAGAAACCTTAGAAAATTGCTGCGTCACAGCTGAAATTGTCGTGACACGGTGCAATTTGCTGTGACACGGCAGAAAGTACCGTGGCGCTAACTTCTGCCATGACACGACAACTCTGTTTTCCATAATTCCGTCCAGATTCATTTTAACCTTTTACTTAACATTTAAGCATGTGATAATTAGGCGTCGTTTTAGAGTTCCGGACCTATTTAGGGTTTAATATTTATTAAATCGAGCTTAATAATAAATAAAACGAAATGAATTAAAAAGGGTTTGGGCTAAAATGTGAGTTGGATTGAGTTTGAATAAATGCTTGGACTGATTTGTGGACTTAATATATGTTTGACTACATATGGATTTTAAGCACTCCCAAGATTAAATACTCCACCCGACCAATAATGGCGGTGAAAGGTTGTTCATCATCGGATTTGGTTTTGGGGAGACATTTTTAGATGTCTATACATATATATTACATTAGTTGTCTTGATCATAACATCTTCATCATTAAGACCATTTCCTTTTCTCAATTCAACATGAGCATGTGAACTACAAAATTTAGAATATCAAGCACTATGTTGTAAATATGGTACTTGTTTACTTATAAATGTGTATCTTATTCTTTCTGCCCCCTTAAAAAACTTGTTGGTAGGATAAGTTGGTAGCAAGATTAAAGAAAGGAGAGTATATAATATAGAAAGCAGGTGTACTAATTTAGCATAAAGGAGGGAAAATAGGAAGGGATAAAGATAAAAGACAAGAAAAATAACATTTAAGAATTTCAGCTGCTTCAGGCAATACCAGCTAATGTCAAAACAATGCATTGTTATACAATACAATGCGTTGTTTTGTATAATCAAGCACTATGTCGTAAATATGGTACTTGTTTACTTATAAATGTGTATCTTATTCTTTCTGCCCCCTTAAAAAACTTGTTGGTAGGATAAGTTGGTAGCAAGATTTAAGAGAGGAGAGTATATAATGTAGTGTGGATTGAAGTTTTACTTTATAAAAACAAGATATATTTTAAAGAAGACTAATATAATAAATAAAAATATGATAAAAGTAAACCAATAAACTCTTAAGTATCTTTCATACTAGCAAAATTTTAAACTATATAATCTCACTTTAGGTTTTAAAGTCACTCAAGGGTAATTTTTGTAATGGTTTAAAGGTTATGTATTTAGGCTTATTTTAATCATCTTGAATTTTGGGTGGAATCGACATTCTAAATCATTCTTTGCCCATAAAGTGATTAAATGACCTTCTAGAAGCCAAAATCCACCTAGAAAGTGGTTTTTCAAGGGGCTTTTCGTTTTTGACGAAAAATTTTAAATCTTTAAACCTTCATAAATTATGACATGCAATTTTAACCCTTATTTAGCATATTTATAATTGGTGCTTAATTTGGTTAACTCTTATTTTCACATAAACTTGCAATTTCACATTTTTGCAAATTAACTACTTGGAGTGTGAATGTTTATGATGAATATGTATTTTTGAAGCCCCTAAAATGTTAAACATTCAATCTTTAATTGTTTATTTGGTTGGATCTTAACTTTCTAAAATTCATAATGAACTAATTTTTGGTTTTAATCATTTTTAAGTTGATTAAAATCTTAAATGTTCATACTTGTGCTTGAAACATTATTGTTCTTCATATTGGAAGATTACAATATTCAAATGTGCATAAATAAGTGTTCGATAAATTTTTCAATGGATGATTATTTATTTTTCCAACCTTTTTTGTCAAATCTCATTGCTGCCCAACCAAAGCATGTGTTGTAGCTGTGCAAACAGCACCCACGCACGGCAACAAGGCTTAGATGCCTAACAAACCTAAAGGCTTGGATTCCAAATACCTTTATGCATTTTTCATAATAAAAAAGAGAAAATATATCTCAAAAGTAGATACAAAATACTAAAAAGTAAATCGAAATATTCTAAAAGTAAATTAAAAAAAATATCAAAAGTAGAGTAAATATAAAATACTCCTATATCTAATAATTAAACCTACGTGGTAATCGAACCCACATTTTTTGTTCATTTGAACAATGCTCTGCCTGTATATTAAAAAATCAAAGTAAAGAAAAATAATTCAAAAGTAAATGAAAAAATTATAAAAGAAAATAAAAAAAATCATAAAAGTAAAAATAGTCTTATATCTAATAAATTAAATACAGTACATTAATACTCATATGACAATATAAGTATTGATCTAAATTTCATCTCGGTTCTTCTAAAAAAAGATGCACACATTAGAATAGGTAAGGGAAGATATATTATTAGAGTTCCTGTTTAACTTGATTCTTGCTTGATTGTCCAACTTAACATAGCGTTTAAGATCTTCAATAGGGAAATCTTCAGCTTCTTACCATTGCAACTCACTCAACGCTGGTTGCTTAAGATCTGGGTACTCAGAGTCCAGCCGTATCTTAAGATCTGTGCCCTCCTTCAGTATGTTAGCTCCCACTACAGTGGTAGCCTTAATTCTTTGCTGAGACATGATACCTTTAGACCCCTTTTTTTGCTTTCCCAGCAGCATATGTCCTTGAACCAATCATCCGCATTGGCTCCATTGAATTCATAGCAAATTTCAATGACCTTACATGATTCAATGCCATTTCTTCTTCCTGTCACAGAAATATACTGATATATGAACAACTGTTTCATTAAACATAAAACTTTAAAAAGTAAGGAGTATGAAAATAAGAGACAGAGATTTTGTTTCACAATGTAACTTATATTCATGCAGCTCTCCTTCGATATTCTATGATTAATATTCATACTTGATACCTCAGGGCAAAATTCATAACTACTCTGTCAGAAATTTTGCACAATTGCCTGTGACAACATAACACATTTGACAGGACTGATGAATCAGGTGCCTTTAGTCTCTATAGCATAACAAACCTTTTTCATTTACACCTCACTGCCTATGGCTGCTTACCTTCCCCTTTCTAAATCCTTGACCCCTACCCCAACTACCAGCAATACATCAATCATCTCACCACAGACGGGAGTTATAACTCTTTCAAACACCCAACTCATTCTTGCTAAGAAGGTGTCCAACATCAAGTCGCAACAATAGCATCGACAACATGACCTTGCCAGACACTAAGACACAAACCCTCTAATTTTACAGTAGTTAAATTCAGCTAAGTTGTACATTAATTTACCTCAAAATCAAAATCACCAATTTCAATTAATCAAGCAGTTGACACATACTACAATTTAACTCAATTACATTATAAACTCTAAGTTGTAAGCTTATGATTATATTCAACAACTTCCAATAATTCACCAATCACAAAATCCAAAATTAAACACCCAATCCAACCACAATCACCCAAAAACTAACCATAATTATCCAATTCACCATCAATATCCCCTGAAAAACCAATTATAAATGCATCTCTATCAATATAAAAACAGGTACAAATTTGCACTTTTCAGAAAATCAACAACTAAAATATCATTGCGGAAAAGAATTAACATCTTAATTAGAAATTCAAAATCAAAAACTTAATTCTTGAATATCAAATACACAAACTTAATTCTCGAAAATCAATAACAAAAACCCTAAAATCAATTCAAATTGAAACACCAACTAAATTAACAAAACTAAATCGAACAAATCTAACAAAAATCATATTGTTTTTATGATTTCAACCGGAAACCTAGAAACCGACAATAAAATTCTAAATTAAATTCTCTACCTTGAACTTAAAAATCGCAAGAAAGATCAACAAGAATCGCAACAAAATCTCAGCAAAAATAACCAAATAGCAAATTGCTCAAACTAAAAATAACGAAAACCCTGATTTAAGACTCGAAATTTAAAAAAATCAAACAATTATACAACAATTGAATTAAACACAAGAACATCACAAATCAAATAACTTACTTGTGCAGTATCAATTTGCAATGAAAAAAGCGAAGAAGAACAACAAATCCAATGACGATAAGAGCACAGATAAATTCGAAGGACGAGAGAGAATTAGAGAGGATTCAGAGGAAGAGAGAGAAAATGAAATGAAAAGAGAGAAAGTAAAAATGAAAATCTGATCAATTGAAGCTAGTCATTTAAAGCGCAAATTTACGATTCTCATATATATATATATATATATATATATATATATATATAGGGGAGGGATCATGTGAGAACCCACCCCTTAGGTGAGAACCCTCTTAAAATAAAAACCAATCTTACACCATTAATTTTGAGATTATGGATGGCTGAGATTAATTATCACTTTCTCATGCATTTTCTTGGGAACACGCATTTCAGTCATTCAATTTATAATATTAATGTTTCATATATATTATTGCTTGTTTCATATAGTTGGGCTATATATGAACTAGGTTTACTGTGATTTCTTATACCTTATTGATGTTTAAAAAGACATACCTTATGTTTCATTTTATACTACTTATGTTCCATAAAATATATGTATTGTTTTATATACTAATGATATTGTTTTATACATAATATAATATTTCATTCGGATATTATTTATATTGTTCCAGAAATATGAACTATTGTCCCATAAAACAATATCATTAGTATATGAAATAATACATATATTTTATGGAACATTAGTAGTATAAAATGAAACATAAGGTATGTTTTTTGAAACATCAATAAGGTATAAGAAATCACAATAAACCTAATTCATATAGAGCCCAACTATATGAAACAAGTAATAATATATATGAAACATTAATATTATAAATTGAAACACTTGATATATTTTACGAAACATCATTAACGTACACCAATTACACATAATGGATGGCTGAGATTAATTATCACTTTCCCATGCATTTTCTTGGGAACACGCATTTCAGTCATTGGTACATGCTTTTTAATTTTCTTGGGAACACGCATTTCAGTCATTGGTACATTTCATACATATGGTATGGAATAATGTATATTATTTATGGGACAATAGTTCATATTTCTGGAACAATATAAATAATATTCGAATGAAATATTATATGAAACATCAATGATTTTTATGTATAAAACAATATCATTATATATGAAACAATACATATATTTTATGGAACATAAGTAGTATAAAATGAAACATAAGGTATGTTTTTTGAAACATCAATAAGGTATAAGAAATCACAGTAAACCTAGTTCATATAGAGCCCAACTATATGAAACAAGCAATAATATATATGAAACATTAATATTATAAATTGAAACACTTGATATATTTTACGAAACATCATTAACGTACACCAACTACACTTAATGGATGGCTGAGATTAATTATCAATTTCCCATGCATTTTCTTGGGAACACGCATTTCAGTCATTGGTACATGCTTTTTAATTTTCTTGGGAACATGCATTTCAGTCATTGATACATTTCACACATATGGTATGAAACAATGTATAATATTTATGAGACAATAGTTCAAATTTCTGGAATAATATAAATAATATTCGAATAAAATATTATATGAAACATCAATGATTTTTATGTATAAAACAATATCATTAGTATATGAAACAACACATATATTTTATGGAACATAAGCACTATAAAATGAAATATAAGGTATATTTTTTGAAACATCAGATAAGGTATAAGAAATCACAGTACACCTAGTTCATATAGAGCCCAACTGTATGAAACAAGCTATAATATACATGAAACATTAATATTATAAATTGAAATACTTGATATATTTTACGAAACATCATTAACGACGTACACTTCAACTACATTTTAACGTAACGTGTTTCAATGCAATAAATAATAAAAAGCATGTAATAATGACAGCTTTTGGCAGATTTTGTGTCCTAATGCACAAAAATTAAAAAAAAAATACAAACAATCATTACAATTAATGAAGGTGGCCCACGTGAATTCCCACTAATGAAACAATAAATCTGAACCATTCATCTAATAAAAATGAATGGTGTTAGATGAGTTCTCATTTTAAAATGGTTCTCACCTAAGCCATGGGTTCTCACATGATCCCATTTCTATATATATATATATATATATATATATATATATATATATATATATATATATATATATATATATATATATATATATATATATATATATATATATATGTATATATATATATACATATTATGTATATATATATATATACATATATGTATACACATATACACAAGATAGATATATAAATATTGATTAGGGGATTTTCCCCGCCCAACTACAGTCTGCCACGTGGACCAATCGGGTCCTGCCATGCGTCCGCCACATGGACCAGCCAAGGCCTGCCACGTGTCAGGCAGTAATCAGTCGAACATGGACCAATCGCGCCACGCCACGTGGCCTGCTATTTGCCAACCTAGAAAACGGCCTCCCAGGCCCGGTTTCCGAGAAAGGCCTAACCAGCCCTAGGTTGACCTAAACCTAGTATTGGGCACGCTTCCCAAGAATATAAATACATTCATTAATCCTCAGTAAACGGGGATTCAGAATTAATTACTCTCACCTAGAGAAGCCTAAATACACGTGCTTTCTGATTGTTAGACCTGACTCAGCAATTGATTGCATTTCCTGATCACTCCTCCCCTAGAGGAACCAGATCACCCTTTACTTTCCGCACCTTTTTTACTCCACATACAAGTACTAACTTGATTGTCGGAGACGGAGCTCCCACCACCCGGAGTCTCCGTTGTTTTGCAGGTACAGGCGCAAGGATACCAGTCCCGGAATTGTAACTCTCCCGAAGGACAACAAAAAACCCCGAAACATTTTGGCGCCGTCTGTGGGGAAAGTACTTTCGAGATAGAATCACAGTCTGTACCGATTTAAGTGACAAGCGTCCCATGGACGACCCCCTGGTTCAGACGGACCAGGATACTGACAATGAAAATGAAGTCGAGACTCATACGGCCTCTGACGGGACCTTAAGAGCTCGACGCACCCGTCCCTCCGAAAGGAAGGAACGAGAGGACTGCCTAGCTGGATCTAGTAAACCAGCCGGCCAGCCGCTTGATCATCAACAGGCGGCCGAGGGATCTGCTCCCATCACTAGAAACGAACTCATGACCTTCATGAATAGTTTCAAGGGGGAGATCCAGGATCTTATCAACAAAAGGAGGACTGTTCCACCAAAGGAACAGTCGGCCAGAAGACCCTCCCAATCTGGGAAGAAGAAGCTTGTAAAGGATCGGGAGGCGACTCCTTACCCTAAGCCTAGGGCGAGGGAGGAACCAGTGATCGACCTAACTAAGTACCACTTTCCCTCACCAGGGAAGAGAAAGCCCATCCGCTATGTTCAGCCGGACGGGTCAAAGAGAACATACTCTGATGCGCGAAAGTTGCTTGAGCAGAAGAAGAGTGACCAACTGTCAGAGTCGGCCTCTACTTCTGACTTTCAAGACAGCCTACATAATACCTCCCTGAGGTATTCAAAATCAAATTATGAGAGCCAGACGCCCGGAGCCTCCTCTCGTTCTGGTTCCCAGAAGCATCAGGCGGCCCCGTATGTGCCCCAACCATACGTCCCGCAGTCTCAATATTTCATGCAGCCTACTCTTTTTGGAGGACAAGCAGCAAGGAATGTCCAGCCTTTAGACTGGCAACTTAGGTTGCTCAAACTTGGAGAACATCCATCCGCCTTCTCTAAGGAAATAATAGAGGCCGCCCAGCCGGCCAAAGTAAAAAATGTGTTGGTAGGGGCATATGATGGCACTACCAACCCAGAAGATCACATGATGGCATACACCAATCTTATGTACCTCCAAGGGTTGGATGATGCCACATGGTGCAAGTGTTTCCCGGCCACATTGAAGGGAGTCGCCCAACAATGGTTTGGTAACTTGCCGGTCGGGTGTATTAACAACTTCAAGACCCTCGCCTACTTGTTCACATCAAACTTCACAATGAACATTCCTGCTAAGAAGACCACCCTTGATCTGGGGGCCATACAATAGGGAGAGAAGGAGGGACTGCGCTCTTACATCAAAAGGTTCAATCTGATGAGAATTCAGATACAAGGACTACCTGATGAAGTAGCCTATACAGACTTTTTCAAAGGTCTGAAGGACAGGTCGAACTTCAAATTCGACCTCGTCAGAAAGAGGGTGACCACCCTCCAAGAAGCAATGATGGAGGCGGACGCCTACATTCAGGCGACTGACCTCTGTAATGTTGGAAAGCAGTCGGACCACAAAAAGTCCGACAAAAGAGAAAGCCGGCTAAAGCAGTCGACCAATAAGGAAGAGAAAAAGAGAAAAGAAGTCTGGGCGGCCGACTACTCTGAACAGCCGTCCCAGAAGAAGAAGAAGGAATTTAAACCATACTCCCCCAAGTATGAGTTTAACAAGGATAACCATGCCATCCTCAATGAAATCAGGGACCGGATCTCAATTGAGAGGCCGGCCGCCATGAAGGGTTCTCTCAGTAATCGGAACCAAAGTAAATACTGTCACTACCATGAGGACATTAGCCATAAAACCAATGAATGTATCAGCCTCAAGCGCCTTCTGGACCGCCTGGCAAACAAAGGAGATCTCGACTCCTATGTCAAGAAGTCTAAGGGGAATCCACCCCCCAAACAGAAAAAGGCGGCCAAAAAGAAGCAACGGTCAGCCGACATAGCAGGCGGCTTCGCAGGAGGCGGCCCTACTATCCGGGCCAACAAAGATAACATCAGGCGTCTGGATGTTAACTCCGTCGAGTAAGGACGGACCTCCAAAAGTTCATTTCCTGAGGTTGTAATCACTGAGGAAGACTTGGGAGGTGTTAGGGGGCCGCATGACGACCCTATTGTAATTGAATGCAAGGTGGCCAACCAAAGAGTTGGTCGAATACTTATCGATAATGTAAGCTCATTTGACCTCATCAGTTATCGATGCTTGACCAAGCTCAAGTACAAGACTGAGAGCATGCACCCTGTCTCCCATCCTTTAGTAGGATTGGGAGGGGGAGTCGTCCACCCAGTTGGACGAGTGGATCTACCTGTCCGCTTGGGTGAAAAAAGGGAGGGCCGTCACATGGTGGTCCGTTTTTTTGGTGGTCGAAGAACTGTTGGCCTACAACATGATCTTAGGGCGACCCACCCTGAACAATTCAAAAGTTGTTATCATTCCG